TGCAATCGTATTGGACAAATATCAGAAGGTTATAACTCGAGCGAAAAGATGTGGAAATCTTTTTATTGTTGAAAATAAAAATCATTTTGCACAAGTTGCTGAAGAAAAATGTGACATTGAAAAGTGGCACCAGAAAATGGGCCACATAAATGAAAACGATCTTAAAAAATTGGCTAGTAATAACCTAGTACACGGATTAAAATTAAATCCTAAACAAAAACTTCCGACTTGCGAAATTTGTATTAGTGAAAAACAAACACAAAAATCATTTCCTAAGAGTAAAGAAACTAGAACAAGTGATTTATTAGAGATCGTGCATAGTGATGTGTGCGGACCAATGAGAACAGCATCAAATTCGGATGCAAGATATTTCGTAACATTTATTGATGACAAATCACGCTATTGTCAAGTTTATTTTATAAAACAAAAATCCGATGTATTAAATGTATTTAAGCAATACAAAAGAGCAGTAGAAACATTTACGGGTAAACGAATTAAGGCTTTACAATCAGACAATGGTAGAGAATACGTTAATTCTGAATTTAATTTATTCTTGAGGAAATTTGATACAAAGACGCTTAACTGCTCCATATACGCCGGAGCAAAATGGTATTGCTGAACGTAAAAACAGAACTCTAGTTGAAATGGCCCGTTGCATGATGAAACAAGCTGAAGTTCCGCCAAACTTTTCGGCAGAGGCCATAAATACAGCGTGCTATATTCGGAATAGGTGTCCTACAAAAGTATTGAATGGTGTAATACCGCACAAGTTGTGGACTGGTAAAATGCCAACTATTGTACATTTTCAAGTATTTAGCTCTAAAGCATATGTCCTAAAAAAGGATAAGACTTTTATTATATATTTTTTTTGCTAAAAAATATATAATAAAAACTATTATTTTCAATAGAGCGGCTTTTATTAAACAGTAGTGAATTACAACAAAAAAATTTATTATTTAATTATTTGTTAATAACGTGAAAGATACAATTAAAATTTTAAAATTATTTATATAATTAATAAAAGAATATATTTTTAATATTATTAATAATGTATATATCATATATTGCAACTGTTGTGGGTTGAAAAGGGGGTTGAATTGTCGTATGCCGCACTATCAATGTACTTATATCCCAAATCAAATACCATATAATTCGATATATTGTTTTTATTGTTTATTTACGTATTTTGGTTGTTAATGGTTGAACATTCTAATTTTATAAACTTTATTTATCACTTGAATGAATGTTTCAATATACTATCGTTAAACATTCTTAATTTCACCATATCATAAGTTTAAGTTTTACGTACATTAAGGTTTAATGTACTTCAGGCCTTATTTAAAAAGATGAAGATGACTGAAAAAGATGAAGATGACTGAAAAAAATGACTAAAGAAGGTAACTGAAGAATATAACTGAAGAAGATGACTAAAAAATATGACTGAAGAAGATGACTGAAACCAATGACTGAAGAAGGTAACTCTATCTCGCGTCGCTCCAAACTAAAAATCTTTAACACGAGCATCAAGTCAAAACCTCTATATGGATCTAAAACGTGGAAAGTTACAGAACACATCCGACAGAACTGCAGGTATTTGTCAATAAATGTCTCCGCCACGTATTTAAAATTTTCTGGCCACGGTTAATCTCAAACAACAAACTTCTCACGATATCCGAAATATCATCGTTCATATCTAAGACAACAAAACCAGAATTCATCATTGACACTTGGTAAGAAGATCTGTTTCAAGTCGATGTTGCAAAATTGGATGATGCTGCAAAAAAAAGATTGCTTTTACGTAAATTAAACATCATTGTTCACCATTCATAATAAATACATCAATTATATTCTACCAAATCATAGTCGTGACTTTACTTTTAAAGACACAGCAGAAAAACTCAAGAAACTTTTTGGAAGTCAGATTTCACTATTCAACACTAGATTTATTTGCTTACATATAGCGAACATAGTTAATAAGCAGTGTGACTTATTCAAATTGAATGATTTAACCACAGACCAATATAAGTGTCTAATATTCAAAAAAACTTGGAGCAACTTTTACAAGGAATTGAAGAAGTAGGAAATTATCTAGATGTTATTATTATTTCGCAACCCACGTTTGAAGATCACCTTTGCCGCCTGAAAGCGGTGCTCGAAATTCTACAAGTAAATGGTATTAGATGCAAAATTGAAAAATGCTTTTTTGTTTAAGACAAAATTCAACATCTTAGTCGGGAGATTAGTGCTAGTGGAATTAATGCCTCCAAAACATATTAAACAACTCGAAGCGGTTTTGGATATAGTTACTTATTATCACAATTTTGTTCCCAGCTAGCGGCACCGTTAAATTTACTTCGACGGGAAAAACATTGAGAAAAAAACAACAACAAGCATTTACCGACTTAGAAACTTATATCGTAAATGCAACACCACTTTCCCATTTTCAAGATCATTTACCATTGATTCTTACTGTGGATGCATCTTCATTTGGGATTGGAGCAGTAATTTCTCACTTATATATGGATGGGGGCGGCAATGACACTAACAGGTATAATAAGGCAGTCGGAATCATTATTTCGAAAAACATCGCAAAATCAGTGACGGCTTTCATTCCAAATTCCGACAGAACAATGCTTTTGAAGAACGATGCAATACCCTTTGCACTAAACAACATAGAAGTCTACAATCCTACATTAGAATCCACAGAGGAAGAAAGCAACGAATTCTACGCAGAAATAACCGAACTACTGAAATATACGAAGTCCCATGCATTGAATCCCATCATTGGAGATTTTAATTATTATTATACTCTGTTATAATTTAGTCTTTAATTATAAGCTTTTAGGTTACTTTAAGTTGTATTCTAATTTTAAGTATTAATAAAGTTTAGTTATAATATGAACTCGAACTCAGGCGTGTATTTTTATTGAGCGACATAACAAATTGGCCACGAGAAAAACTTTGTTTTTATGTTTAATGTGTAAATATACATATAATACACATAAAAGCATTAAAAGAACATTTGATAATTTGTAGTAAAATATTTTTTTAAGTGTTATATATTATATATAAATTAATAAGACACAGTGGAATCATGTCTACGAATAAAAATGTGACGGTGTGGCAGACAAGCAATATGCCGCTATTTTCTCCTCGAATAGAAACGTGGTCAATCTGGAAGAAGAAACTGGAAATTCACATATGCGTATTAAATTGTGAAGACGACAAAAAAAAAGCTATCCTATTGAAAGCGATCGGTGCGGAGCCGTACAGCATTTTACATAGTATGTGTAGTCCAACTCCACCAATTCAAAGAAGTTACAAAGAGCTTTGCGAAATAATTAAGAGTCATTACACTCCACCAACTATCATACTTCAAGAACGAAAAAAGTTCCATGAAGCTTTCAAGCATGAGAGAGAATCTGTATCAGAATGGTTTGCTCGTGTAAAAAAAACTTGCCTTGCATTGTAAGTTTGAGGAACATTTAAATGCATTTATTTTGGATCGATTTATAGTAGGCTTGCCTAAGAAGCTTTTTGAAAGATTATGCGAAGAAAATGAAAAACTTTCGTCAGCGGATGCGTCAAAAAAGCGATGATTATGGAAACAAAAATTTTTCAAGTGAAATATTTAAGATCGTTGTATATATAAATTATACTCCTATTAAAATGATTTGTGATACAGGAACTCCGTGCAGTTTGGTACCAGCATCACTTCTTCAAAATGTTAACAGCAAAATATATTTAAAATCATGTAAGTCAAAATTTTTTAGTTACTGTGAGAAAGAAATTAAAGTGTTAGGAATTTTTAAAGCAAATGTACCTCCTGATCAAAAAGAACGAGAGGCCTAGTTTTTGCTTGGCGTCTATACAAAAATGGATAAAAAATTAGAACAACGTGCGTGCATCAAATTTTGTGTTGCAAATGGATTCAAGTGTGCCGAAACTGTTAAAAAATGTTAAAAAAGGCCCTATGGTGATCTGTGTGCGTCGCAACCACGAGGATACGAATGGTTTAAAAGGTTCAAAGACGGTCGTACAAGCTTGTACCATGATGAGATCCCTGACCGCCCAACAACTTCTGTTACTGAAGAAAAGATTGAATCGACGAAACAGATTGTGTTGGAAAATCGTTGTGAACCGATTAGAGAGATTGCAGTGTTGTTGGGCATCTCATATGGATCGGCTAAACACATTTTAACTGATGTTTTGGGTTTGAAACGCGTCGCTTCTCGACTGGTGGCAAAAAGCTGAATTTCATTCAAAAAAAGCGTTGGTTGTGTCGCAGTTTTTGGCCAAAAACTCCACCAATATTATCAACCAAGCACCGTACTCTCCAGACATGGCCCGTGTCACTTTTTTTTAAAAATTAATTTTATGAAATCTTTGATATGAAATTAGGTAAATACAATATAAGAAAAATATCTCCTCCTATTACGAAAAATGTTAAACCGATTTTTATAAAACCAAGGCCTGTTCCTTTAGCTTGGAAAGAGAAAATTGAAAGAAATTTAAAAGAACTCATAGAAAATGGTGTGTTATAACCTGTAAATAGTTCAGATTGGGTACACCATTAGTTCCACTTTTAAAACCCAATGGTGAAATTCGAATATGTGGAGATTATAAAATGAAGATAAATCAGCACTTATTAGATTTTAAGTATCCTTTACTTTGTATTGATGAAATTTTCGCTTCTTTACAAGGTGGTGCATATAATCAGTGAATTATAGATGAAAAATCTCAACATTTATGATCGTGGTCAACTCATATTGGTACATTAAAAATGGAAAGGTTGCCTTTACAATATTATGTCGCAAACACGAACATAATATATACCTTACTTTATTAATAACATAAAGTCTTCGGAATCTCACATAAGATGCACTCTCCGGACAGTAGTCATACTGTAAAAATACCTAACCCTATCATCTCATTTATCTATTGATGTGAAAATTACCCCACAAAAATTAAATTCCAAACTACTTCAATTAAA